AGAACAGCATTCACTTACAGGAACGCACCCAAGACTTACATTTCAAAACAAAAAATGGACTAATCCAATTATTTGGAAGTAAATATATTGAAAGCGAAACATTTGGAATTTCTTTTAGATACAAGAGTTTGCACTTCTTCAAAATTACCCCATCGTTTATAATAAGACAAATACATGAAAGACAAATAATGAAATCTGCAGTCTCTTTGCTGCGTAACAGGCTCGGATTTGCTCGTTTGCATGCAAAGGCCTCATCATTGGAGCGCTTCGGACTGGAGCATCTGAGAGGCAATCCGTTAGAGCAAATCAAATCCGCCTACAACAGCGACTTCTACATTCCAAAATGCCGCTTTATGCAATATGTACGTGCTGGCGACACCGACAAGCGCCTCGGCATGGTGTCCGAAAATGGCTCCAAAATGATTGAATTGTCCGGCAAAACGTGTGCCGCGCCAGACATGCTCAGCTTTATACACCAGAAATATTGTATGAAAAGTCTGATGGAAAGTGCCAAATATATGGATGTTGAGGATGTCAAGCCCGACCTGCGTCTCCTGCCGCCCATTGATTCGCCAGGTAAAATTATTGGCGTCGGTTGCAACTACTATGACAGCTGCAACGAGCGCAACATTAAAGTGCCCAAGGCACCAGAGTTTTTTGTTAAATTCGGCACCTCCATTACGGGTGCGCTCGATAATATCCGTGCTCATCAAATAGCCAAGGTGGGTTTATCACAAATATGTTTAATATGCTCTAATTAACTATCTCTCATTCGCCCATTTGCAGCGCATCGATTATGGCTGCGAGCTAGCCGTGGTAATTGGCAAGAAATGCCGCCACGTCTCGCGTGTCGCTGCTATGAGCTGTGTTTTTGGTTATATGATTGCCCAGGATATTAACGCGCGTGACTGGAATGTATTTCTCGGTGGCCAAACCATGTTAGGTAAGTCATTGGACACGTTCTGTCCACTGGGGCCAATCATCGTCCATAAGAGTCATGTACCCGATGTCAATAATCTGTGGATCAAGACGATTGTCAATGGTGAGGAGCGTCAGTGCGGTAACACAAAGAATATGATCTTCAAAATAGACTACCTCATACATAGATTATCCCAGTAAGTCAACCGAAGGCTATTGATATTTCAGTGCAATTAACATTCGATTCCATTTAGATTTATGACGCTCTGTCCGGGCGACATTATTTTAACCGGTACACCTGCCGGCGCTGGGGCTTATCGCAATCCGTCAAGCTATCTGAAGCCCGGCGATATGGTCGAGAGTGAAATACAAAAGCTGGGAAAAATGAGAAATAAAGTCGTAAATCCTTATTTTTAAATTATGGGAAACAGTGTGAAATAAAGTCGTAAACCCTTAAGTTCAAATTACATAGTCATATTAGATTTCAGTTTACAGGCCTCTTCTATATTTGTAATTTGTATAATTGAATCTAAAACAAAATCTGACAATCTATGTTTTAAAGAAGTGCATTTTTTTTTTTTGGGTTATAATTAAAACAAATCGGAGATAAACTAAACGGTCGACGTTGTGGGGAACATAGTTTACAAATACATCAAACCGCTTGCAGCGGCGTGCGCCATCAAAGTATTTGCTGCCTGCTGTGTCTCGAGCATGAGGCGAGTCTCCTTCATCCAATCGTTGGCCACTTCGCGAGGAGCGCCCTGTAGCAGGTTTAAGTATTTAAGCGCCTGCAGGAAATCACCACGGTCCACATGGTACCTATCAAATATCAAAGCAGATAGCTTAGATTATAGATACCATTAGATAATTTGCGATTTGGCTCACCTGGCTCTATTCAATATGTCATAGGTGTCCAACTTGCTATAATCAAAAGGCTTGTTCTCTAGCTCATCGCTCGAAACTGGATTATCTGGCCGTAAAATGAAAAGGGATTGCAGAAATGAGAGGAAATAAATGGGTATGCTTCCTCCATTCTCTGGCACCATTGCTAGACGTCGCGCAATGCGCTCAACGTTCAGGAACCGCTCACGTAGCGCATCCTCCGGGAATACGCCACGCTCCTGAGCCTCCTTTGGCATGTTCTCCAGCACAGCAATTACCAATTCGTCGCCCTCTGAAAGGCAATTGTGAGTCATGAAATAACAAAGTCGATCGAATCCATTATCAATTCCACTTACCAGCCACCTTGGCAATTGCATTGATCTCGTTCTTGAGTGGCCTCAGCTTATCCTTGTAGTGGACACCGGGCGTGGCAGTGCGTACAGAAGCCCAGAGGGCTTGGCAGGCAGCCCATAAAGCTTGCGCTTGGTTAGCAGAACGCTCAGTTTCAGCGCGTTCTATGATCAAGATTAAAAATTATCATTAATTTTAAGCAAAAACACACTTTTCATATGAATATAAATTGTTAGCTTGGGGAATATACCTGCGAACTTGTCCTCTATTTCTACACAAGCAGCATTTATATGAGAGTAATACATTTAAAATATTAAAATGCTAGCCAAGATCATATTTAAAGTAATAATAAATAACTGCTAAAACCCTTAGATACCCGATTGACACATAAAGCTTATGCATAATATAATAAAAATAACAGTCTAACTAAACTATTGAAATGCTTACGTACCAGCCAGTGCAGCATCCATTCCGCGTAGCTTGCCAAGCATAGCAGCCAGTTGGAGCTTGTAGTTGGCCTTTTCAGCAGCCAATTTATCGTCCATTTCACGCTGGAAAGCGCGCGTCAAATCGCTTTCTCGCTGCGCGACGATGTCCTTAATGTGATCTGTATGGGCTTCGGTTTGTTTCTTCAGCTGCAAACGCAGTTGCTTGTCCGCTTCGGCATGGATTTGGAATATCTTCTTTTGATTTTCCACCGCTAGCTTGCGCTTCTCAGCCTCCAAGTGGTAGTCGAGCTGAGCACGCAAAGCCTCCGAGCTATTGTCGCCACGCAACGAATCAATGGCACGCTTCAGACGCAATTCGCCGTCGGTTTGCAGGCGCTGCAGCTCCTTTTGGTAGGCCACCACATGCGAATAGGCATGCAGTATGAACAAATCCAGATCCTCTTTCGATAGGTTCAACTTCTTCTCAGCCAGATTGATGCCAGGGAAAATCGACTCGATTTCATCAATAAAATAGTTACGTGCCTGTTCTACACTACGCCAATATTTATCTGATACGCTTGCTGTGTCCTTCTGTCGGTACAGCTCATCCTTGACTTTATTTATATGCGCCACAAGTTTCTGAATCTTGTCTCGCACTTGCTCCACCTTCTCCTGGTTTTTCGCATTGGCCGCCTTACTCAATGCGATTTGACAGCGCTCTGAAATGAAATCGCATCAAATGGTTTTATTTTTTGTTTTTGTTGTCGATCCACACTCACCAATCTTTTCCTGTGCCTCGCGAGCCGCACGCTCTGCCACCTGTACGGCCGAGTCTCTTGCACTTGCTCGGTTCTTGAGTGTTGTCCACAGCGAGTTCTCCCCATGCTCCACTGCCTTGTCGACCACGCGACGAACATCATCGTTGAAACTGTAAATATTTATTTATAATATAAATAATATATAAATATAAATATTTATTTATAAATACGCACCACTTAAGAACTCCAATAGCAGAATTGTACTCCTTGATTGCCAACTGGGCCGACAGCTCAATGGCCTTCTCTAGCTCCACGACTTCGTGTGGCAATGGTTGAGGTTGAGGCGCAGCTGGTTTTGGCGGTGGCGGAGTTACGTCCGACTTGGTGGCAATTTTCGTTTCCTTCTGGGCAGCTGGCTGAGCTGGAGCAGCAGCTGATTTCAGTTTATCTGTTTTCTGTACCGCGGTTTCGTTTGGTTTCGATGCAGCCTGCACGGGTGGATCCTTTTTGCCGCCAAAGAATCCGGTTACTTTATTGGAAGCGGAGCTAACCGTATCCGAAACACTAGTAAAAGTCGATTTTATACTATCGATTTGGTCGTTAACACTTTTGGTGATTCCCTGGAATGGCGGCTCTTCCTGCAGTGCCACTTTGATCACCGCTTCGGCGCCGGGCACATTCTTCTCAACCATCTTGCGGAAATCATTGTCGTACCTGCAATTACAAACACACGTGCAGAAATTAACCTGACAGGCCAAGGAATCTGATTGGAGACTCACTTGGAATAGGTGATGACGCCGCCGACTGCAGCCAGTGGGCTCAATAGAACCATCACTTTGCCGAAGCCTGCTTCGCGTGCATTGGGAGGCGGGGGCAGGCTGCCTCTCTGCCGTTGCCGTTGCTGCTGATGCTGTTCCTGCTGTTGTTGATTTTGCTGTTGTCCATTACCACTGTGACTTCTGTTGTTATTACTGCTGTATTGTCTGCTGCTGGTTTGAGGAAGCGTGCGCTAAAAAGATATAATTGAACGATTGTAATTGGCAACGGGAAACACATATCAATGGTCAACAAATGCGGTCTTGCTGGAATTTTGGACATTTTTTGCATTTGGTAGATGACATAACACACAAGCACTCTTGTATATTTTTGCAATTGACTTTGTTTGTGGGCGATTGCGGGGCGATCGGGTGGCACCGACGTCACTGACACGATTGATTTTCACATGATTTTAGTCACATTTATTACCTGCATCGCACTCTTGCACTCAATTGCTGCTAGTCTGTACATGATGTAGCCACAGAATTTCGTTAATTTGCTCCGATGGTGCGTACCGCAGACTCTAACCGGCGGCGAGAATAATTTTCCTGCCCAATTTCTCTCCAACGACAAATACTGGCTAGCTCGCTGGCCGTCGACGTTATATGCACGTTTACAAAAGAATGGCAAACGATTGCTGCCAGCCTTTTCCATTCGTGCAGTAATGGATAGCCGTTGATGCGTGTAAGTAGTATTAAATCAACATAAATTTCTAACTTTAATTTGACTCAATTTATACTATTTTACAAATAATAATCAAAATTCAATGTAAATGAAGTATAAAAAACTGTGTTTTAAAATGAGCGCACTGCGTCGCCGTAAAGTGTGAATGCCTAATACCAAGCATGTGTTACTCTCCAACAGCTGATTGGACAGAGCCAGAGGCTGTTACGCGACAGCGTTCCATAAGAAAATTTGGACATTATTTTGATCAATTAAAGACAATACAGAAATGCTACGTTCGCTGGTTGCAGGTGGTAAGTTGAACAGATGCATAAGCATGTATTCATTGCGTGATCATTAATTATAAGATTTCAACAGCATTGCGCAGTGTCTGCCGCGCTCAGCCGGCGTTAGCGCTGCAGCAAACCCAAAGGAACTTTTTTGGTCATTTGATTGCTGCGGCTTCTCCTGCTCAGAGCAAAAGAAGTTTACTACCTGCTTGCAGCCTAACACCGACGTTATTACAGCCAGCTGTGCTTGACGCATTGCCCGCTCGCAGCGTCACGAAGTTCTCACTCATCAAGGGCAAACGCAAGTCGGTGAAGGCGGTGCTGAAGCGCTTCAAGCGCCTGGATTGGGGTGCCTGGATTCGTACACACTCTGGCCGCCATAAGAAGATGTTTAAGAAGTCCCCAGAGCTGCGCCGTCGCCTACGTCAACATGTCTTTACAAATGCCACACAGAGCTGGCTGCTGGACAAGATGGTGACGAGCTACTGGCGACGGCCTAAGCATTATATCGAAGACCCATATGCTCCGTACCACAAACGCGATGAATACTTCGCAACCAAATCGAAAACATTTAAAGTGTAGTTGCTAAATGATTTAATAACATGTTTTTAACACTTGTTTACTTTACATAACATTGAATAACAACAATTAATTTGGCTTGCATGGAGCCACCACTTGGTTGGTCATCGTGCCCAGCCCAACGATCTCTGTCTTGATGACATCTCCAGCTTTCAGATACTCGGGTGGGCTGCGATACATGCCCACACCTTTTGGTGTGCCGGTCAAAATGATGTCGCCCGGCAGCAGTGTAATCGACCTGTCACGGATTAGCCATTAAATGATTAAATCTCATGAGGATTAGTCATGTTTGCTGAGCTACTCACTGAGTTAGTCTGTTGATGACATCATCTATTTTGTGGATCATATCGCCAGTATTGCCATTTTGCTTCTCGACGCCATTGATCCACGTCTTCAATGGCAAATCGTACACATCCTTAATTAAGCTCTTATGCACCACGGCAGGGCCAAGGGGACAGAAGGTGTCCATAGATTTGCCCAATAGAAATTGGCCACCATTGCGCTCCTTTTGCCAGTCCCGAGCCGAGATGTCTTGGGCAATGGTGTAGCCAAACACATAGTCGAATGCTTCCTCCTTGGGCACTAGGCGGGCGACCTTGCCAATGACGACCACTAGTTCCACTTCCCAGTCAATTTTCTGATAAGATAATATAAATCAGAAAATATATGGATGGCATAATCATAATCATATGTTGTACCACATACATTCGTCACTTCGTGCGCTATCACATCATCAGTTGGCCCCACCAACGTGTTGTTGTATTTGCTGAAGAACATCGGCGTCTTGGGAGCCGGCTTGTTCTGCTCGTCGCAGTGGTCTTGGTAATTGAGGCCGATGCAAATAATTTTGCCCGGATCGCTCAATGGAGGCAGCAATGTGACGTCATCGTTCAGTGGAAGTTTCGGCTGTTTTTCAGCCTTTTTGGCGAGCTCGGCCAGATTCGGGTTTTGCGTAATCAAAGTCTTGAGATCACAGGGCACGCCTTCGACGCCGCTTAACTCAACCACAGACTTGTGATCGTCGGTCAAAAGACCGAGGCGCTTGGCGAGATCACCCTTACGCAAATATTGCACGAAACGCATTCTAGCAGACAACATTTATGACTGTTCGACCGATCACCAGCTCCACTTGCAAGAACGAAATACGTACAACGAAAATGGCTGATTACCCAACACTGTCAGTTTAACAGTTTGACATTCTCAGAATGGAATTTTTGTCCAGAGAGATTGGGATGGGTGCGTGTCGTGTTTGCACGACAGCACGAAAGCTGTAACACGAATATGTACGAGTTCATTGCATAAAATCACTAGTGATAATATGTAGAAGCCAGATATTGTTACATACCCAAATAAAATATTAAATTTCTTGTTAATGTCAAATAAAAGTAATATATTTTTTCAATGGCAGCACCGAACTTGAACGCATACAGCGCAGCCTATAACATAGTTTTTGGATTCATTAATAACTTAGACCAATTTTGTACACTCCTAAAAAGCTTCCTATTCGCTACCAGCAGTTGCTGTTTTGCTATTGCCAGAGCTGCCGAATTTTTCTGATAATTCGTATTTCCAGCGCATATAGGCGACACGCATGCGATCCCAAACGTTATCGACGGAGTCCATGGCCGGGCGCACATCTAATAAAGCAAAGCGGTAATCCTTGTCAACCAGGCCGCCATCATAGTAGTCAATGACATAGCGCACATCCTTGCCGCAACGGTCCACAATCCAATCGTGACGATCGAAAGGCAACTCATAACTAGAAGTAAACAATACATTAAAATGTTGATAGAGATAATTGTCTTCGGCTGTTTACCCAAGCCAGCTGCGGAAGCGTGCACGTGGACTGAAATCTTTGGCCTTGCCACCGAAACTCTTCAAGCGCGGATTGCCGCACTCCTTTGCATGTAGCGCCTCCCATTTAAGTACCTCTTGCCAGGCCTGCTCGTTGTTGGCGTTGTGAATGCGTATTATGTCGCCCATATCCTTCTGGGAGACATCCTCATTTTTCCAGCGCCAGCCCTTGCGCAACATTGCATTCCAGAACATCTGTTGGCTTGGATATTGCCAAAATTGTACGCTCCCATCCTCGGTCACCTTTGGTATGGTCGAAGTCTGACGATCTGTGGGCAGAGGAAAGGGTTGATCGGGTGCCGGCTGTTGGTTCGCTGGGGGCATCATATTCAATGGATTGACATCGCTATTGTCGTGCTGAACGGGGCACTCAGATGCCTGCATTTTAGGATGTGGCGGCACAGCAGAGGCCGACTCATTGCCGCCCTGTTTCTGATGCATAGGACATTCGGGCGGCGGTGCTTTGCCAGCATTGGCCATATGCTTGCCATGCTCGGCTGGCATCGTCTTGATGCCCTCCATTTGGACCCTGGACAGAGCTGAGTTCCCCATATTGATTGATTTATTTCAAATTATTGCTAAAATAAAAAAATTACTTTAACTGTGTCACGCGTAAATCTTTTGAATTCTCCGTTGCGTAACGCCGCACAAATCATATTGTGGCCGAAATACACAGTTGGAAAAGCTATAACTTACATGTATTTATGTTTAAGATGCGTTACAAAATCTTGGAATATTAAAATACTAATTGTCGTGCACTTTTAATTGATATTCTTCCAATACATTGTGAGCTCTCCAACAAATGTCTTGAAATGCAGCGAGGTTACGCACAGGGCTGCCACAACATCTAAAAAAAAAGTATATTTTCTGGACTCGCAAAGCGACCTGGACGTAGAAACTGAATAAAATAATGAATTCGATTTGACGATAAAATCACAGTCCCATGTATAAAAAAGTACTTTGCAAATTCTAAAAGTATAAATAATTATTTGAAACTGCTATCGAGAAACCCTGTCAACCCACTTTAGAGTGTGGAACAATTCTGCACAGTTTGTCGTTTACCAACACCAGCTGCATAGGCCGAAATTGTTATTGGATAGATTTTAGATTTTTGCTTTTAAAGTGAGTAAATGATACGCGAATCAGCAATTAATATTGTTTTTGCTAAAGCTGCAACCGAACTGCCATTCGTGATTTGCCAAAAGAAGGCAATTACTAGATTAACTGAGGCTGGCAATCATAAATTGCAGCCAAGTATTTTGAAGCTCGTGTGATGTAACAACAGACAGGAGAAAATGCCAACAAATTGGTAATAATTATTATTTATATTGTAATTAATGCTGGGCTTTTTATGACTACAGCATGACTGCCGTGTTTCGAGTTGGCCTGGTGCGGCTAGTTGGCCGTGGCTCAACCGCCCCTGCCCCTGCCACACTGCTGCAGGCCCAGACGAATGGATTGCCTGCCACCTTCATGCAGAAGTGCAATATCTCCGGAAGGACGATGCGTGGCGGTCCACGGTGTCCCAAAGTGCCGCCCTACCCGTACAAGACGAAGAAGTACAATGTCTTCAGCGCCATTTTCGACAAGACCACGAAGCGTTTCGATGAGAACACGAAAGTGATTTGCGTCGAGGGTCCCATTGCGGCGGGCAAAACAAAGTTTGCCATGGAGCTGGCCGCAGAACTGGATATGCAATATTATCCGGCTGTTGATATGGATTTGATCTATATTAATCCATATGGCTATGATATGCGTAAATTGGATCCAGAGCTGCCGCCCAGCTGCCGCAGTTATGACATTAAGAACTTCTGTGCGGATCCAAAACATCCCTCGGCCGCTGCGTTCCAGATTCGCATGTACATGTTGCGCTTCTCGCAGTACGTCGATGCGCTGCAGCACATCTTGTCCACGGGCCAGGGTGTGGTCACAGAGCGCAGTCCCTTCTCCGACTTTGTCTTCATGGAGGCCATGTTCCGCCAAGGCTATATTTCTCGCGGCGCTCGCTCCGTCTACAACGATGTGCGCCAGAATACCATCGGCGAGTTGCTGAAGCCGCATTTGGTTATCTATCTGGATGTGCCCGTCGATGTCGTCCAGAAGCAAATCAAAGCGCGCAACTTGGAGCATGAGGTGAAATCAAAAGTGTTTTCCAATGCGTACTTGACCGATCTGGAGGTCATATACAAGCAGCAGTATCTGAAGGACATTGCTGGTCATGCCGAGCTGCTCATCTACGATTGGTCAGCCGGCGGCGAAACCGAGGTTGTGGTGGAGGATATCGAGCGCATTAATTTCGAGCAATACGAATCGGATCCGCACAACAAGAAAATGATCGACTGGCGTTTCCCGCTGGAGACCGAGTGGTGCGAGGCGCGCATCAAGTACTGCAATGAGAAGTCCGACTTGATGAACTACTTCAATGTGCCACGTTTCGATGTGCCCGAACTCTTGCGCAGCGCCGAAGACGGCAAAGTCTGGCGTGATGTCTGGTACAATGTGAGTTAATTACCCAATTATGCTTAATTTACCCAAAGTCTAACTCCCATGATTTGTCTTCACCAGGCGCCTGGCATGAAGTACCGCCCCGGCTACAATGCGGATGTGGGTGACACTGGTTTGCTGACCAAGTTAAAGATTGGCATCAACGAGCCCTTCTAAGCCGGCCGTTCGTGTGCTTTGAGTTCAACTGGCGAAATGTGTTAATTATGTAATAAACAATCTAGTAAAATATTTGTAATCCTTTCGCTGACGAACTTCAGTTTCTTCTATAATTTGCGTGGCGCTACAGCATGAAGTTCGGTGACTAAATCCGGGCTTGGTTACATATTTGGAATAGAAATATATACCATATATGAGCTATAATTGCGAGATTTATATACATATATGAGAAGTCTAACAAGTCCGGATCTATAATTTAATTTAATCTATCGAAGTAAGAAAGGAATCAAAACTTTGTTTCGCGGAATTAAAACACAAACTCCATATTTTCTTTTGTACTCAATTTAAAGTATCTACAACGTGGTTAAAACATCTACTCTTTGGAGATATATTGTTTACATTTATAGGTGTACAACCAGTTGAAAGGATCGGGATTTGAAACTTGACATACATATGGTACATACTCGTATATTATAAAAAACATTTAGATAATTACCAATTAAGTTTACTTCATGTTTAGTTTAGTTAAGGGAATTGTTAACGCTGCAATCGGTAGAATAAGTTATTTATACAATAATGTTGCGCTGTCTGGATCGCATATTATGGAACATTAATTAGGGTTTAAAATGTGATGCGACTGATCGAGCAATGTTAATCGCTGTCGTAGTCATTTTTGCCGGCACCGCCAACGGAGGTGAGTGGCCGACGGGACTCCTCGTCGGAGCCGTAGACGACATCCTCATCTGAATCGTCAATCATGGAAATGGCTGGATTATCTTTGGTCACAGCCAATTCCGCCTGGGCGAAGCGGCCATCGGGCGAATACACATACGCCATGGTGTACAGGTAGAAGTTCAGCAGTCCATAAAAGCACATGAACTGCGCCGAACTCCGATAGGTGGTATTCAGCGAGGCCACAAAGTTGTCCTCCAGTATACCAAAGCCGAAGCGACAGGTGGTCACCGTTATGGAGATGGACAGCACAAAGAGCATCAGCAGCGTGAGAAACTTTAACCGAATGTCTGGAAGAGCGGAGAAAGGCAGAAGAGAAATGAGGAGAAGTCGATGAAATGAGAAGATGAGAGAATAAGGAAAAGAGAGTGCAAAAATCGAAGGGAGAAAGAAAAGGAACAGGAATAGAAAAAGTAATAAGCGATGGAAGACCAAAACAGAAGAAGAATGAAGAGAAATGATAAGAAAAGACAAATGGTAGACAAATGTTGGAAATTCGATGAGAAGAACCAACAAGGCGAGAGAGATCATAGAGAGTAAAAATGATCAGAGCGAAGAATAATAATTAAATTAAAGAAGGGAGAATAAAATATGAGCAGAGAAAAGAAAGTATAGTGTATATGTGTGTTCATATGTATACTGTTAATAAAAACATACCAAAGTAGGGCATGGAGCGCAGTTCGGTATAGGCTCGCAGCAGGAGCACGCCCAGATACAGCACATACATGCAGCAGGCAATGTAGAAGAACATCTTAAGGCCCTGCAAAATGCATTATATGGGGATAATAAGGTCTGTAGGTAATCCAACTGGGAGCTCAGCTACACTCACATTATAGTTCTTGGTGTCTACGAAGTGGCTGTATGTGGGATCTCGCAGCTCGTTGCACTTCTCCCAGGTGGCCAGGACAATGGCGCACAGCCAAATGGGCAGCACCACGATGATCTTGACCAGGTAGAAGCTAACGAAGCGCCGCTCGTTCTGTCGCAGGCCGTGGTAGATGCACAGCCAGAACATGAGCAGGGCGCAGAGGAATGTTGCCTGCAGAACGGCGTCCAGCATGCCAGGCAGCCAGGAATTCATCAAAAATATCAGCGGAAATAGTGGATCTACATTAAAGAGTTCAATTACAGGAAATCAGAGTTTAAGCTAGATCTAGTTTACTCTATACTCACTATCGTAGAGCAGCAGCAGTGGCAGCAGCACGGATATCCATTTCTGCTCAATGGACCAGTCATAGACGGGATACTTGCGCAGCGTGTGCGCATACCAGCACTGAGGGGAGGATAGATGGGGTTTATCTCTGTGAAATTATCTATGTATTTCTTCACTTACGATGACTATGAACGTGAAGAGCAGAAAGATGAATCTAAACCAAATCTCAATCTGCGTAAACTCCGGGCTATACGTCTTGAACTGCAAGAAAATCATTTGAGTGATTTTGCTCAACAATTTGGTCATAATGAAATAATTACAAATAATTACTATTAAAATTAATATGAGTCTTAATACGTTAATAACAAGAAGGCTCTAGTCGAAACTGCTCGACTAGGAGTTACCCAGAACCCTCCAAACTGATATTCTAATCATTCTGCACTTCTTTTATGCGCACATACATACACACGCGCTCTGCTAACTGCCAAGTTATTATATAATATTTCTTTTGTAGACAGACAATCTTAATAAAACTTTCAGAGCGTGATCATATGATTAAAATGTGTGTATATTTCAAGGCACAAGTCTCTAGTACCTAAAATAGGTTTTTGAAAATTGTAGGTGTGGGGGATCAGTGACCTTGAGAGGTCAGTGACCTTAAGGGTGCTGTGAAATTGAGGGTGCTGTTCTATCTGTTCTACCTGTTACATACATTTCAACAAAACCATTATACACTGATTTCCCGTTTTCAATGGGTTCAGGAAGGATATAATAAATATAAATTCATATTGGCAAAAATAAAAGATCATTTAAATAAATAAGAGAAATAATACCTGCAATTGAGATCTATAGCTATAGCTACTCACATAGAAGGTAATGGCCCTGATGTTGTACTTCTGATGGAACGACTCGAGTCCAAAGAACCGTACCGTGATGATGTAGTGGGCGTAGTCGAGAAAGCCGAGATGCATGACGGTGAACTCCTCACAGTCGTTGCGCACACAGAGCAAGTGCCTCGTGCGGTTGTGGGCGGTGCTAGTGCCCAGGACGCTGAGTGGTTTGTGCTGCTCGTTGATGCCATCGATGGAGACGCTGATCTGAAAGCTCTTGTCGTAGCGCTCATCTGTGCAAGCAGAGAGACAATGAGTGACCTGGGAATTGCTGCATGAACTGAACACTCACCATCGTTGTTATCGGTGACCAGTTTGGCTATGAGCCACATCTGCTGCGAATAGGTTGTCATCAGAGGCGATTTCATGGCAAAGGGCCCAGTGGCCAGCACCGTTTTACTCTTGGCCAGCGTCGTGTTGGCCAGTATCTGCTGTGCGGTGAGTGCGTCTGTTGTTGTTATTGGCGGGCCGGTCAGGCCAATGATGATGCCCAAGCCGAAGCAGGTGAAGAAGCCGAGAAAGACCATGACGAACTCCCGCTTGTGCATGGAGTACATGCGCATATGGACGGATCGCTCGCAGCGGTCGTGAAAGAAGGCAGGTGAAATGTATTTGTTGAACTCGCTGAACAGATCGCTGAACTGCGACAGGGAGTTCTTGAGGCGCAGCAAAAGTCCGCCGGATGGCAGATGATAGGCATAGCCCAAGCCGGATGCGTCTGTGGGTGGCTTGGCCATGGCTCTACGACTTTGTGTGCTCGTCGAATGGAAGTGCTCTTGTGTTTTGTTCGCACGTTTACTTAATCCTCAAATTTCAAACGGGTGCATTTTCCCAATGGCGCTGAAACTTTTTGACAGTTGCAGCAGCGCTGGCAAAGCTTGAATTAATTGTATATGTTTTTGGGTTCCTTTCGCTTATTTGTTGTGCAAAACAATTTCTGCACCGTTCGCCTGCTTGCTTGTGAGAAAAGTATTGATTTTGGCTGGCAATCTCACATATGTTTTGCGCCCTGGGGTGGGCCACGAAATTTGATTGCAAGCCCAAGCGCCATATTGTACAGTTTGGCAAGCACTGCGCATGCGCTCTCTTATCAGCTGGCCACAAAATGTAAACAAAAACGTTACCTTTGTAAGTTTTTATGTTTATTTATTTATTCTGATATGTATTTATAATTAAAAATAGCAAAACAAATATGTTTTCTATTAAACTTCTTTTCAAAGCAACCCATGCACAACAGTTTGGCAGCCACTGCACTGCAGAAGCAAATGTAAACAAAACTGTTAAAATTCAGAAGTTCTAGCTCATTTAATCATTTAATATTTTACTTTTTGTGCTTATCAATTATTTTTTCTATTTCTGTAATTTAATCCCAATATTTAATGAGACCATCCCAGCCGGCGGTAACCAATTTGCTGGCTTCGTGCGGATGCCACAGGGCACTGATGCAGACGCCATCGTGCGCCTGCCATTTCTTGTACATTTTCGTCGTCTTCCAGTCCCATATGTAGCACTTGCCATCGCCATCGCCCGACACCACATAGCTCATGTCCGGCGAGAAGTCCAGCTGGCAGGCATAGCCGGAGACCATGTGGCCGGTGAATGTCTTTTTCCGATTCATCTTGAAACGATTGAGGGCGGAGAATATCACGATTTTGTTGTCCAGCGATTGACAGGCCATCCATTTGCCATTGGGCGCCAAGGTGACTGCTGGCATGGAATGCATCGTTGGATCGGCAATGTACTTCATGTCCACAGGTATATCCCACTCCCAAATGCGCATTGACTTGTCGTCCGACGTGGTCACGAATCTCCGATTATCGTCCACAAAGGTAATGGTGCTGACAGAGCCCAAATGACGATCGTATTCCTGAACAATGTCGCCACTCCGTATGTCCCACTATGGAAGAGATTAAGCTTTAGTTTAGCTCTAATCATTCTGGATGGATTCACACTTACACAAATGATCTTTTTGTCCGAGGTGCCGGCCACGAAGAGATGCTGCTTGCTGTTGTCCGGATGAAACTTAACGCAAAACGGCATTTTGCGTGTGGTAAAGCGCGACACAACATCGCCCGTCTCCGCATCCCAGAGCTTTATGTAGCGATCATACGAGGCGGACAGAAAGTGTGAGCCCTTGTTGTTCCAGGCAATATCCTTGATGGCCTGCCGATGGCCGGAGAAGGTGCGTACGCATCGTCGATCGCCATACACCTCCCACAGCTTGACGCGGCAGTCCATGGAGCCGGAGAGTAACAAATGTGCCGTCTTGGGAAACCAGCGAATGGAGGAGATGCCCTTGTTGTGGCCCGTCCAGGTGTGTATATGGGCCTTGGGCAGAAAACATTTCGGTGGCGGCGCATTCGAGCGCAAATTGATACCCAAATCGTGTGGCGCATGCAGATACGAGCGGCCCTGGTAATCGTAGGCATCCTTGACTGTGGGGAAAGAAATTATGAAATATACATTTATAGATTATATTCATATCAATGTTCCAAGCTTACTGTGCAGCGTAGACTTCTCTTCTAGTGGCTTGTCCTCGGGTATGCGTCCTCGTTTGTGTCTCTTGGAGAGCAGTTCGTCCAGCTCGGCTCGCTCCTGTTCGTTGGGTTTGGCCACGCTTATCTCGTTCTCGTACTTTCCCCATGGTCCGAGAAAGCCTTCTACGTCCTCTGGATTATCGTTCTTCTCCTGTTTGCGCATCTTCTTTGGCTTTGGCGACTCGAAGACCGTTTTGCCATTGTCATCGTAGGCGGACTGGAGATCACCCACAAAAGACTGACCGTCGGCTTCGTTGTCCACCGTGGGATCCAAGGCATAGCCGTAGGTGTGGAAAGTGCGTCGCTGGTTCTCAAATTCAAATGCATTTATATGTGCCTTCTCGACATAGCCAGCTAGCGTGTTGCGCGGCGCCCGTTGCTGCATTGTCAAGTTGGGATGCTCTGGACCCTGGACGGGCGCGTACATTTCTTCGTACCGTGGATTGTAGGCGACTTCCTTGAGCGTGGGATCCAGCGTACGTGGCACGGCTGCTGTTCCCATTGGCACGACGTCGGGCGCTGCACAAACGGCCAACGTTGTGGACAACGAATGGGTTTTGTCCACGGGCTGCAAATGCGCGGTCAACTCTTTGGCAGCTTCCTCGCTTTGTTCGTTGTCCGAGTCATTCTCGGATGAGCTGCCGTAGGATTGCAGTCCCAGCATGGTTATCTAGAGACTGCGTACGAATTCCGTATATCTGTTCACAAAATGCTGCAAATATAAAATAAACAAACTGTACAAAATGAAAATAAAAACGTTTATAGAAATTTCCATCAAGGTGGCGTTTGTATGCCAATTACTTGTTCGCTGTGACTGTGAAAATGTAGACATGCCAACTCGCTCAAAAATAGACAATAAAATTTGAAGAATATCACTGACTGGTCAGTGAGAATATTTAACTGAAGTTAATAATTTTCACAGAATTGGTTAGTAATAATAAAAATCAAATTAATAATTTCACAAATTACATTTGAAATAAATATTAAAGATAATCGCAATTTATAAGTGGCATACGGGAATATATTTATTTTTATCGAGTATATGTATATCGATTTAACTACGCCCAGCTGTTTGTGGATTTTTAGCTATTACATGTGAATGGCAATATCGTGGCCCTCAACACGTGCGCGTTTGTTTTATTCCAAGTTGTGTTTTCATACCGCAATTCCTTAAAATGTCGATCCGGGAAAAACTCCTAATGAAAAAAATCGTCAAGCGTGAGAAAATGAAGAAGGAGCTCTCACAGAAAAAGGGTAAAGCGAATCAGGCTGCACCGGAACCGCCAGTCGAAAAGGCTGCCAAAAACAAGCCGAAGAAACAGAAACGACCTGTGGAGCCTGAAGAAGGTCTGTGAAAAATACAGCACTTTAATCTATATATGTATACATTAAAAACATTTTATAAACAGAAGCGTTGGAAAAGAGTGAAGCGAAGCAGTCAGCGCCGGAGCCCCCAGTCGGAAAGGCTGGAAAAAACAAGCCGAAGAAACAAAAGCGGCCTGTGGAGCCTGAAGAAGGTGTGTGAAAAACGACAGCATTTTATTTTATATATGTATACATTCAAAACATTTTATAAACAGAAGAGTTGAAGAAAAGCGAAGGGAAGCAGTCAGCGCCGGAGCCCCCAGTCGGGAAGGCTGGAAAAAACAAGCCGAAGAAACAAAAGCGGCCTGTGGAGCCTGAAGAAGGTGTGTGATAGCGATAGTATTGATATATAAGTTTAAAACATTTTATACTTAATAGATGACTTGGAAGATGATTCCCTACAGCAGCCGCAAAGCAAAGGCAAGAAGCGCAAGCAGCAGAAAAAGAAGCCACAAATTGAGGTCGCAAACTCCGATTCAGAGTCGGAATCAGAAGAAGAAGATGAGAGCCCGGTGAGCGGTAGTGAAGCAGAGGATGATGAGGACGACGAGGAGATAGATAGCGAAGGTATATTACATATAGATATTATTAGAATTCCATATTTAAGGATGATTCAAAGGCGAATTCGATTTGCTCTGGAGCAGCGAGTTAATGTTGCCAATTGCAGGCATGAGATACCCAAAAAATAAACTGAAACTCTTATATTGTAGCTTAAGATTACTTTAAATGAGATCCTCATTAATCCTGTCGTAATATTTACAGCTGCAGACTCAGCCGAAGCGGGTGAGGAGGATGAGCCTGTGCCGGCCAAGAAATCCAAGTTACAGCCTAAAGCAGCTAAAAAGACGGCCACAGCAAATGACAAAGCTACTGAGGAAGATGTACCCTTCACTGTGGAATCGTCTTTGGCGGCATTGGATCATCGGGATTCGGATGATCGGACCTTTGCCTCGCTCAAGGGCGCCGTCTCTGAGGCCACGTTGCGTGCCATCGAAGAGATGGGCTTCTCTGAGATGACCGAAATCCAGGCCAAGTCCTTGACGCCGCTGCTCAAGGGCCGAGATTTGGTGGGTGCTGCCCAGACTGGCTCAGGCAAAACCCTCGCTTTCCTTATACCCGCCGTGGAGTTGATCAATAAGTTGAGGTTTATGCCACGCAATGGTACGGGCGTCATTATCATCTCGCCCACACGCGAGTTGTCCATGCAGACGTTCGGTGTGCTCAAGGAGCTGATGGCACATCATCATCATACCTACGGCTTAGTCATGGGTGGCTCAAATCGTCAGGTGGAGAGCGAGAAGCTGAGCAAAGGCATCAATATTCTCGTGGCTACGCCAGGACGTCTGTTGGATCATTTGCAGAACTCTCCGGATTTCCTGTACAAAAACTTGCAATGTCTGATTATCGATGAGGTGGATCGGATACTGGAGATTGGTTTTGAAGAGGAACTCAAGCAGATCATCAATCTGCTGCCAAGTAAGAGAAGAATATTACTTGGTGAGGACTCAAATTTAATTATTGTTGTTATTTCTTTAGAACGCCGCCAGACTATGTTATTCTCGGCCACACAGACGGAGCGTATTGATGCGCTGTCCAAGCTGGCGCTCAAGAAGGAGCCCATCTATGTGGGCGTGCATGATAACCAGGAGACGGCCACCGTCGAGGGACTTGAGCAAGGCTACATTGTCTGTCCGTCCGAGAAGCGTTTGCTGGTGCTCTTTACGTTCCTCAAAAAGAATCGCAAGAAGAAGGTCATGGTCTTCTTCTCCTCATGCATGTCGGTCAAGTACCATCACGAGCTCTTCAACTACATCGATCTGCCGGTCACATCCATACATGGCAAGCAAAAGCAAACGAAACGGACGACGACCTTCTTTCAGTTCTGCAATGCCGAGTCGGGCATTCTGCTCTGCACAGATGTGGCGGCGCGTGGCCTGGACATACCGCAAGTCGATTGGATTGTGCAATACGATCCGCCAGATGATCCGCGCGAGTACATTCATCGTGTGGGTCGTACGGCTCGCGGCTCTGGCACTTCGGGACATGCTTTGCTGATGCTACGGCCCGAGGAATTGGGCTTCTTGCGCTATCTGAAAGCAGCCAAGGTGCCGCTCAATGAATTTGAGTTCTCCTGGCAAAAGATTGCTGACATACAGCTGCAGGTGGGAGCAATAGCTATAGAGAAATATATATATGTGTATATTCATGTGCTCTCTCTCTTCACAGCTGGAGAAATTGATATCGAAAAACTACTTCCTCAATCAGTCCGCCAAGGAGGCGTTCAAGTCGTATGTGCGCGCCTATGATTCGCATCAGCTGAAACAGATATTCAACGTGAACACGCTGGACTTGCAGGCGGTGGCCAAGAGCTTTGGCTTTCTGGTGCCGCCAGTGGTTGACCTCAAAGTGGGCGCTGCCAAGCGCGAGCGGCCCGAGAAGCGAGTGGGCGGCGGTGGCTTTGGCTACTACAAACAGATGAACGAGCGGGGCGGCGGCCACAAGCAGCGCGTCTTCAAGCAGATCAATCGGGATCAGGCCAAGAAGTTTATGCGTTAATGCTTTAGCCTTAATTTTAAAATCATGTGCTTTTTATATAGGTATACAAGAATATAAATATATACCATAATATATACATACATATATAATGTAGAGAGAGATGTGCATGACTCTGGCTTCATTTCACAAATAATTCAACCCAAAAGGCGTTGCAACGCCCACACGGATGTGCCGGATGCCTTATTTGTGCGCTGTTTGTTTCTCATATATTTTTATTGTGTCGGGCAGACTTTAACAAAGTATTTGGCAAGCTGTGCCGAATATGGCCAATGCGATTTTTCTTGTTTTTTGTTTTTGAAAGTATATTAAATTGTTCCAGTTTATTCAGCGCTCAGTGGAGCTCAAACTGTAACAGTTTGGCAGCCCCGTTCCGTCCAGGCCTTTACCAATTGCGCAACGTTCAGTGCGTCGTCTTGTTGGCGCCCACAGCGAATGCGGCCATCAATTGAAATAGCATTGAAGAGCTGTAAACAATTTTCTAATAAAACTCGTTTAACCCACGACACCCGCTTCACCCAGGCTGAGCCAATCGCTGTCCAAAAGACGGCATCAAGAAATTAATGCGCTGCCTAATCGAAGCAGCCGGCCAGACAGACAGACAGCCAGAAAGCCAACAACAAATTAATACTAGTTTTTATATTCCGTCCAAGCCTGGGCGTGGGCGACAAAACTGCGCACACGCCCCCTCCGCCCACATCAGTTGGCTGCATGCAACCGACGCGACGCCTGCGAGGCAGCACTTGCCACAGCTAAGCCAGCCAAGCAGAGCTTGTGAATGAAATCGGCTAATGCTCATGCTAATGCTAATGCTGATGCGGGAGCTAGTAGCAGTCGAGAAGCTTCATTCATGAATGCACAAATTCCGCCAGCATGCTAAATGAAGGGGCCTCTGCTGCAGCCACACGACTCGCAGATACCCTGTAAATATCAAAATTTTCGATAAACCAAATTTCTGAGTACTTTAGGCCACTTGTGGATTATTCATTTAACATTCTCTTTACTTAGAGTAAACTGTAAACGTTTTCAGAAAGTTTAGCTGCCAAAACTTTTACTGCAAGTTGAGTTGAGCTGAAAAGTTTGAACGGAATCTGTGTTTTCTTTGTTGGCAGGGGAATGAATAGGTTAAAAGTCAATTGTACAAGTTTGTAAGAGATACTTAAACTCGGTCAATGAAATTGTTATTAGTATATAAAATAGCAGGTTAAATTTATATTGAAATATTAAATTTATATTGGAAATATATCTCGAAAATGTTTCGATCTATCTTTACAGCTTCTTTATCTCTCTTCTCTATTATTTTATATGTCTGGCTCTAATTCACTATATATCCCTCTCTCTTTCTCTCCCACTGTTTTATTTTTGTCCTATTTTGGCTCTTAGGCATACTTTCATCACATACTCCATTTAGGTGTTCTGCACTTATATACCTTTTAAGTGCACTGCAATAAGTACAGGGCATAAAATCCAACTATCATTTATGAATGAAAAGTCAGGTGTTTCAATTTGTCGCTGCTCTCGGTTCTTTAATAAAATTAGTATACAGTAATTAAAAACGTTATTAATGAATAGATAAAATTTAATACAGATTTTCAGATCAAAATTTTATAGTAATTTATAATAATTAAAAATCTACTACATAAAACTAGTTCACATGTTTCCCTCTTTTCATATGTGATATCTATATATGATACATAAATAAATACATAAATGTATATACATAAGCAATGCCTATGTTAATAATATGAATCATCTGCCTGGCTAAGTTAACAATATCATCAACAGGCGTTATCTAACCGCCTCTGATTCATTAGTTGATTATTCTTCAGTGAACATCTCATTCATAGTCAGCCAGTTGAAAATTTAAAAGCTCAATTCTTGCGACTGCCTGTCCAGAGCAGTTGGCAGTTGACAGGTGAGCATAGTGTGTGTGTGTGTGTGTGTGTAAGTGTGTGTGGGTGTAGTGGCTTGTTTCGTTTGGCTCACTCAATGCTGGCGCCCACGCAACAGTTGTTCGCGTAATAAAAGCCCCAATAGAGGCGAGTTGCGCTTTTAGCCAACATGCCGCTACTAATTATACAAAGTCATAGATGTGGCATGGCGGGCGTACCTGGCATACTGTGCAGGTGTATCACTTAATGCGGACAGCATCCATGCAGCAGTCCTCAGTCCAGGGATAGGCCTACAACGTGTGCATGCATTATGAAGGATGTCGCATACAAAGTAGCCCTGAAATATGGCCACTGAGGCGAGCCATTGCCAAATTAAATGATACAGTGGGCAAAAATGGCAAAAAACTCAAAGCAAATGACAACTATTTTCAATCAAATGAAATTGAATGAAATTTACAAATGAAATTGAATATATTTATGTATATGTACATATGTAAATATTTATGTAAATAAAATAATATCAAAATTCAATACAGATTCATTCATTTTTATCTATAATTTATTCTATAAAATTCATATGTACATAAAAATACTGTAAAATCTTGAAAACTTAATTTCCATTTGTAAAATAAAACTTTAAAAAATTTATAGATAGACACTATTTTGATAGGATTGGATAACAAACGTCTGCCATTAAAAACACACAAAATTAGTATTTTCTTTTCATTGATATTGAATGATTATGTGAAAAGATACATTAGATAGATATTAACAAGTGTATTGAAAAAGTACAAATTTTAGATTTAGTTGAATAGAAAAAATTTAATAGTTAAACTAATTCGATTAAGACTGAAACTGTTAAAACGGAATTATCAAATTTTGTTTTAGAAATATATGAACAACTCAAATATACTTTACTTTCCTATCATATTCAAGGATAGAATATTTAATTTGGATATATATTACTACATTACTAAATTTGTTCACTAAGAGATTCATTACCTTATATATATTGAAGTCTGTTTTATCAAGTAAAATCATAAACAAGATGCATGAATTAACTACTGTGTAAATCATATTCATGCGATTCAACTAGAATCGTGTGTCAACCATGTTTGCGGGTTCATTTCATTCAATCCGTGCTGACACGCCCACGCAACAGTTGTTGGCTTAAGGAAAAGGCTAATAAAGTCCGGTTGCCTTTCAATAAGCATACCGCTAATAATTATACAAAGCGTGTGCACACAGACAGCAAGTGCATCATTTTGTCAGCAGTGGTAGCAGGAGCAGGTGGAGCAACAGCCACATCCACACCCACAGCAGCCACCCATTAGGTCACAATAGGCACAAAAAGTGGGCATGCATATTCATTCAATCCGTGCTGACAAGTCTTCGCAACAGTTTTTGGCTTAATGAAAAGGCTAATAAAGTCCGGTTGCCTTTCAATAAGCATACCGCTCATAATTTTACAAAGCGTGTGAATCGACCATACAGACAGCAAGTGCATCATTTTGTCAGCAGTGGTAGCAGGAGCAGGTGGATCAACAGCCTCATCCACACCCACAGCAGCCACCCATTAGGTCACAATAGGCACAAAAAGTGGGCATGCATATTCATTCAATCCGTGCTGACAAGTCCTCGCAACAGTTTTTGGCTTAATGAAAAGGCTAATAAAGTCCGGTTGCCTTTCAATAAGCATACCGCTCATAATTATACAAAGCGTGTGAATCGACCATACAGACAGCAAGTGCATCATTTTGTCAGCAGCGGTAGCAGGAGCAGATGGAGCAACAGCCACATCCACACCCACAGCAGCCAGCCATTAGGTCACAATAGGCACAAAAAGTGGGCATGCATAAGGGAGGCGGCTGGACGACTGGGATGCTGCACATCAAGTTGAGTGTGAAATATGGCCACTGACGTGTGCTGTGGGCAATTCAGCGCACAGTGGACTGAAACTGATGAAAGTCATATGAATATTTAAGGTGCTGAGAAAAGATTTATGAATATATACAACTATATTTAATATTCATAATTATAATATATACCAAGTTTGTTTGATTCTTATACATCGTTATTACCACTGCACAATTCGTGTCAAGCTCTCGCACACTTGCCACACTGTGCACTGTGAGCTCTTCTATTGAAGCGTAAAACTGCGTAAAACGATGTTAACTCTGCCACTGGGCTTTTAGCCCCGGCTAGTCTAGAGTGACTGGAATATTTGATCTGCATTTTAAATGCAATTTTGTTCGCATGCGAAATCTAATAACTCAAGTCAAAGTGCATGGCTTGGGCTGAGGCTTGGCTAACGTGTGTGTGGCTCTTTAACAGCTTCGTGTGGCAATCAGTGTCAGTGACGAAATCGTCATGCAACATTTGTTCAAAATTGAAAGTGCTACCAGAAATGGCCTATACGCAAAGCCCTAAAGCTTAGCAGCCCACGAATGAAATGATGTGTTGCTTTTTTAACCAACTTGTTTATCTCAGAGGATCTATGTAGATATTATATGTTTGTGTGTGTGTGTTTGGGTGTGTGGGTGTCAGCATCAAAATAGGCTTTGCTGGGCATTAAATCGAACAACCATAATAATACAATGCTTAAATCTCTGACACATATTCAATGGCAATAAAATGTATAAATGTGACTGTATGTATGCGTATATATATATATATACATATATAGATATCAGTTTGATCGGCCTACACACTCGCACTCACATGACCATGCCAAGGTGCACCACAGCGAGTGGTTGGCCAGGTCGATGGTGGGCGCCTGCTTTCCACTTCCATTGATTGAAAACTTTCACGTCTCTTTTTAAGTGCATGCGGGTGCTGTGTATGTGTAAAGCGGTCGCTGTTGCTGATGGCTTTTTGCGGAATACACGGAAGCCAGGCGTAAAGAAAAAATTTAAGAAAAAAAAAAAAAAAACGTACTGAAATGCCTAGCACTGAAACGCATTTGCAATGGAAAGTAAAAGTTGTTGCTGTCCAGGGACACTTATATGGTGCGTCGCTGGCATCGCATGCGAATTCCAATTTTCCCACATACATTTTAACTATTTTGAGCATTTTGGCTCAAAGGCAAGTTTTAACACCAACATTTGGCATTTTGGCCCGGCCAATTTCCATTTGGTACGTTTGGTAATTTGCATAGGCTTTTGGCCAAATGCCCACATATCTAACAAAGCGCTGTAGTTGATTCTAAGCGATCACAGTCGTTGCCTTCTAACAATTTCCGTACGTAATTAATGCCTCCGCTCTCAGAGTGTTTTCATAATTCAAATTGACGCCAACGCGCCAAATAGGCTTAACAAGCGAGTGCGAGAGAGATGGCTGCTGTTAACAGTGCATGATTGATAGATTTAGCGCTGCCACATAACACAATATTATTTATTATAATGCTCACGATCCATTCCTCGCTCATCAAAAGCCCTAAGATAAACAGGAATATATTTTATTTAAGCAATTTCAATGTATTTAGTTCTATATTTATTGAAAACTTGTAATTTTAAGCAATATTTCTCAATTAAAGCAAACAGCTGCGCAGCGTGTTAACTGTGGCAACGCTGTTAAACGATCTTCACTGCTGTTAAGTTGCTGTTATACTCAAAATGGCATGCTGGCTCTCCTCATTTCATTTTCTTCGTCAATACGCTTTGCGTTCAGTTTCTTTTTCTCTGTCTTTGCGTGCGGTTCAGTTTTAGAAGTAGGAAGAATCGTTCAAGTAGAGGCGAGATCCGTGCGTTTTCCTTTTACCCGACTCGAATACATTTTTAAATAAACAAATATATATATATAAGAAAAGGAATTCTTTATTAGTTAATGAACGCAGTGTACAACAAATGCAAATGTATGCAAATTTGAAAACAATATTGATGTGAAACTGAAAGCAACAAACTCATAAAAGGGGCAACAACAACAAATAAAACATAATCAGCAGCAACAGTAAACTGTGCATATTTCATGCGAAATTTTCAGCTTTTTAGCTAAAATCCAAATCATTGTTTGCTATTCTTTGCTACAATAAGCACGTCGAATATTCGAAACTTGTGCAATTGTGCGTAGACTCAAATATGGACTTCGAATTTCCTGCAAATAAGAAATATGTTAATTTGCATATAAAAAATAATTTCTTTTTGTTTTACTTCTTGGGGCTGCTGCAGCCACGGAATGAGAATAAGAGAGGGAGTGCGAAAGAGAGCGAACAAATAAGCAGCTATTTTGACATTCTGCTTTCATTCATCTCCGTTGCTCACGATTACGCTCACAAACACAAACGCATGCATAAACTCACACAATTTAAGTGTCTCTACGTGTGGGTACTGTTTGTGTGTGTGTACTGGCAAAACGTAGACGGCGACTGCGCCGTTTGTCTTCTCTTCTTCTTGCCGATCACCGATCTGAAGCAGCCGCGCTGCTGCGTTGAGGAATTTTTTCAGTCTTCATTTTAGACTTGCTCTCTCTCTCTCGCGCGCTCTCCCTCTCTGGCTGTTTCTGTGCTGCTGACGTTGTTGTTGTGTTTTCGTTTTGTTTCTCTCGAAATTCTCAAACTTTTTTTGGGTGGAGTTGTTTTTAATCTGTTTCTGTTATTATTGAAAATTAAACTTGTAATAAAATAAAATTATGTTTATTCCATTTTGCAGTAACATTGAAACATTCAAAAGCAATAAGATATCAAAGAGTGTTAAAGCAACAAATATATAATAGCCTTTTGTTTAGCAATTGTGCAATACCCGAAAACCCGAACATAGAGAAACAGTCGAAAGAGTTAAATACGCATCATAAAAGAATCTCGGCAACAAAAAATATATTAAAAGAGCATTGTGCAACTAAGTAAACAATTGTAAAAGCTTAAACAAAACACGCTCACCCACACACATATAGAAATATATACACATACTACAACAAAATGAGTGTCTGTGAGAACAAGACCGTTGTGCAACAGCAATTGCAACAACAGGCCGCCGCTGCCGTTGCGGCTGCCGCAGCCGCTGCCGTTGCTCAGCAGCAGCAACAGCAACAACAACAGCCCACGCAAGTGGTGCCACAGTCGCAGCACATGACGCCCCAGCAACAACAACAGAGCACACAAAGCATTGCCGACTATTTGGCACAATTGCTGAAGGATCGCAAACAGTTGGCCGCATTTCCCAATGTCTTCACGCATGTGGAGCGACTGCTGGACGAAGGTAAGTTATATATACAATCGGATAAATATATAATTATATGAATTTAAATATACCACGAGTCGAACTGTATGATCTAAGAACTTGAGTGGATCTCCAGTATTTATTCCTTATTTAGTTATATGTTTACATATGTATATATATTATAGATCCAGATCGGTTTTACCCCAATAAGCGCAACTTTGTTGCTCTCTCTCTCTTTCTATATTTAAAGTCGCCTCTGTGCCCTGATCTTGAGTTCATTCCACCTTGCCGGAGAACCCAAAGTCAACGCTGCCAACGTAGTAGCCGCAGCCTCAGTCGCAGTCGCAGTCGACGTCAGTTGTTTGTTATTTTTAGTTATTTCCTTTTTGTGCGCCCGTTCGTTTCTGTCTGCATGCTCTCTTGGACGCTCTTTGAAGAGTCCACTCTTGTCTCTTTTTTCGCTGTTGTTTGTTATGTTGTTGCTTACATCTTCGTTAGCTTGCAACGGGACCCCCGCTTGTTTGAGAAGATGCAACACAGTTGCAGCAGCCTTGATCACTTCCGAGTGTTCCGACTGTAGCTGTATCTGTATTCGTATCTGAATGTGCAACTGTATTTGAATGAGGCGCGCCTGTTTAAACATATCGCCTGACTGAGTGCCTCAGCCACATGCCCACGCCTTTGCCTCGGCAAATAGTCTCAAGAAAATTAACAATGAGCGCCGAAAAATCAACACAACGACAAACAACAAGAGCAGCCGCTGGGGGCGTGGCACACGCATACAGGATCACACAAAACATAACTGTGCTACGACTACCTGAATGCTCACAGCTTGTCAGTGTTGCCAAGTGCACTAATTTCTCGTTATATTTAGCAGTTTTTAGCTTGAACTGAAAGTCTATTAGTTTGTCTTAAATCAATTTAAATTTAAATTAGTTAAATTAAATTAAATTTGAACTCGATAATAATTATCACTTTTCGATAATTAAAGTACTTTACGTTAATGTTAAGTAAATTACTTTAAATTTAATTAACATTACAGTGATTTGTGAAAAGTAAATGAAATTTGAAAGGAAATTTTTCTACTTAGATAAATCATGAACAAAATTAAAGACGAAAAGCATCGATCAAAATATTTAAATGCAATCATTTCGCATGTAGTTCTAAGCATTTTCTAACTAAATTCAAACCAAGATCGAGTACATTTATACAAATAATTAAAAGCATATCAATTACTAATTACTAGGTAGTAGTTTGAATAAATTCCGTCATATACATATAAAAAACAAAAGAACTATGAAAATCGATATCTTATATAAATAGAAATCACATATCTGGTTACCTTTGTAACCCACCTTTCTAGCTAGCTTCATTTGTTGATTCTCATAAGTTGGCAACGCTGCAGCTCGTTTTCTCAAATCGCAAACGCTTGCTTTGGTTTCAATTTGTTGCTGTCGTTGTTGTTGTTTTTGTTTGCCCAACATCTGTTGGCCATATGCATATATGTATATGTGTGTCGTATGTGTCGCCTCTTGGTAATGACAAAATTATGTTGCACAGATACAGATACAGCCACAGATACGTAGATACTCGCAGCACTGCAAACTAGTTTTGTTTTTGTGTCTACAAATTGTGTTTGCCAAAAGCAAAGCGTTGACAATTTGTAAAACTCGTTGGACCAGCTACGAGAAAATTTATTTTTTTCTTTCTTTTTAGGTTTTGGTTTTATTTTTTACCTGCTTGCTGCTTACTAAGAGCTGCAGCCAACCACCCACCCGCCCGCTTATCAACAGCTGTGGGAGTGTGGGCGTGTGGCTTGAACTATTTGGCCAACTTATGGTCTCACACCCGAACATCAGACCTGGGCTGTGGGTCGCATTGTGAACGGCTTACGACTTTTCAACTTTTTGCCAGAAGTTTTTGGTTTTCGTTGGATTTTTTTCATCGTTTTTTACTGTCGTTTTTGGCTACTTTCTCTATTTTCAATTGCTGTCGTCGCATCGTTGTTGTTGTCGAGTTTGTGGCTGAGTGCCTGTTGCATGAATACGGGCTTACCGGACTTTCCTCGTTGTAAAAGGAATCCTGGTTAAGCATTCTTCAAATTGTGGTCTATGCGTATTATATCTAGATTTTTGCAGGAATTTTTCTTGTGTGCGCATCAGATTCAGCTGCTAGTTTACTCAGAAAGGATCGAAATATGATTTTTATTATTATATGTGCCATTGAGATTGCTTTCTTCTCGATTTGATTATTTGTAAAAGCGAATATTCGGAATCCCCTGACATATAGAATATAGAATTCATAGCTGTTGCAACCTGTTGGCCGCTCATTGAGCTGCACAAATCTGTTGAATGCGCCCCCCACGGTTATACCTTCACCCTCACATACACACACACATGTTGCATAAATATGTGAGCATTTGGCTTAGCTTTTGTTATTTTTCGCCTCTTACGTTTGCCTCTTTTACATTTGGATCTCTTATTTATTTCGTTTGCCGCTTGTTTTTATTGTCTTCATTCGCTCGTCGCTTTTGGCACTGCTGACATAAATTTCGTTGTTCACTTTTGTTGGGGGTAGTGACTCATGTCTAAAAAAAAGAAAACCACAACAGAATTACAAAAAAAAAAAAAAAAAAGAATTAAGAAGCGAACAACCAACAGAAAAAAGTATAAAGCTGAAGAAGATATTGTTCACAGCGGCATCGGCGTTTATTATATCTGTATCTGTATCTGTATCTGCATTTGTATCTGTATCTGTATCTGTATCTGTTAGATACAGATGACACATGCCGTCGAAGCACGTTTCTAGCGTATTTGTATCTTGATGCATGCCGAGCAATTTGCACAGTTGAAGTGTGCCTAGACTGTGGAAAGACGACGTCAACGACGACGGTGTGCACCGTGTGCTCGGGTTCGGATTACGGAGAGGCAGTCCAAGCATAACTGCACGTAGTATCTGAGAGATGTGTATAAGGTATAAATATACTAAATATAAATTCGAGACTATCTTCCGCATGACGTCTGACGCTCCATAAGATTCATAAGCTGCAAGGCCTCTTCATCTGTATATCTATATCTGTATCTGTATCTGTATCTTTACCTGTATCTGTGTGTCTCACTCTATCTGTATCTTCAAGTTGCAGATGTATCTGCAGATGATTGTGTGTCCACATCAAAGGCGACGGATCGCAGCTCTAATCAAATAATTATTTAAAGGTGTTTTTCTAGCCCACGCATTGGCCGAAATAAGCACAACAACAAAAACTCAGCTATCAGATATTCTGTTGTTGCTCTTTCTTTATATCTCGGGTACGCAACGCAGCGGCCGCGATCTTATAGATACAAAAACTCTGTGTGTATCTTGCGTTGTGCATTTAAAAAGAAAGGAAAAAAAATCAAATTACGTACGGACTACACCCGCTATACGGACTAAAGCGCACAAATGTTTATACAGTCACAAAGCTATATATATATATATATATATATATATATATATATAAATGTATACATATATGTAGACGAAAACTTATATGCACGTATGCTTCAGAATCATGTGTATATATATATATATATATACTTGGCATTTCTCTTTCAGATACATACACGCAGCTAGATTTTCAGCGCTCGACAGTTTTTGGTGTTGTTGTTGTTGAAAAATTTGAAATGTGTTTCATTTCGTCTAAATTTAGATGATTGGAAATGGTTTCTAGCCTGTTGAGCGTCCGTCTTGTGGAATGCTTTGCCGTTCTCTATTTAAGCATTTTTAGGGCGTTGTTTGCGCAGCGGATCGAACAGAATCAGTATTAACTTGGCTCCAAATGCAAACAAAGCAATGCTTAATTGCACTGCGATCGAACGCTTCATCAAATGCTGCGTAAACAAATTTAGTTCTCTTTTTTTTTACGATTTACGATTTTTTAAATTAAGAGTAAAAAAAAAAAAAAAAAATGGAGGAAAACAAATCAAGAGATATACAATGTGCGCAATGAGCTCTTTTGAATTTTAATTTAATATCAATACCAACCGGGCCCAGAGCCAATGCTTATATGCGAGTAGTTGGGCTGACGTTGTGCTCATAAATTTGTTGACAATTGTTATGCGGAACGTGTGGGCCCAGCTGGCAAACCCTCTACTCTATTCCCGCACTCTCTTATAGATAGAGGGAGGGAGAGGGTTTGAGACTGGTTACAGGGGGGAGGGGAACAGGGTAACTGTGCACGTCGCATTGGGTTTTTTTTTTCAGATTCAATTAAAATCTTTTGTCATGGCGACCGTTGGTTGTTTTGATTTGATGTTGTTTACGTTTATGCGTTTTCATGTTGGCCAAGTCGCCATTATGGGCGCTACCAAAACAAGAGGCAGCCAAGCGTTTGCCCACTGCAATCGGAAGTTGACTATGGCCAGGAGCTGGCTGCATTTCATTTGATTGAACATTAAATAACTGTTCCGCAAAATGAAGCAATTGGCTAGGCGTATAAACAATGGCATTGTCTAAATTTATTATATGTTGAAAGGGCATTGATCGATGCTGATCATTGATCACTGATCACTGATCACTGATCAATGAACAGTCAAACGTTGACAAGCGAAAGTTTGTGAGCTAAACTTTGTTGGGCTTAATGGTTGGCTGGCTCCGATAGGGAAAGTGGGCGGGGAAAATTCAGACTAACAATTTACGTTGCATATGATATCGAACGGTAACTTATAAATAACATAGGATAATTTGTAAAATAACACACATTTAATGTAGAATAAGTGAATTATGTAAATATTTATATATGGATCTCCCCTCATCTGAACTCAAATTGGTTTTCATTATCAAAATATACAGTAATATATATGCAAATATTAATAACTATGGTTAGTTATTAGTTAAAAGCTCTTGCGTTGAGCATAGTATTTTAAACAGTCGCATTTCTTGTGTGTGCAAACATTTGCGAACCTTTTTGTTGAGTTTTGGTGTGGACTGGGCCACTCAATTAGCAAGTTTTTATTTATATTTTGGTTTAAGTTGTATTTTGCTTTTAAGAAACCGACCGG